ATGGAGATTGGAATTTCCAACATCAGGACAAAAGCCAATTATAATTCTGGAACTTCTGATGGTCACTAACAATCGTCTTTTACATGTTCTTCCTGCAGTAACGGTTTATGTTGTGAAACTGTAAAGATATTGAAAAGGAGAGATTCTTAGAATGCATTGATGGCATTGTATTTGCTGGTTTTTGTAACCTGAATCTACCTGAATCAAAGGTTTAATTTACAGACATTACGGATACAGTTAGAGAAAGAAACCTACAGTAATGGAACTGGAACAAGTACAGCTAATTGGGAGGTGACTGATTGGTGTACTGCAAGTGTCCCTGATAAGGAGGACAGTCCCTAGTTTGAGCCCAAATCACTCTGTCCCTCTTTTCTAGGAGCTCCATATTGTTGTTGGGTTTGAGTTTATAACAGAGCTCCATAGCAATAATGCTCACATCAATGTCTCTTTAAACTACAATAAATATGTTTAGAAATTAGTCGGTGTAAATAAGAAACATTGTTCTTGCTCCAAATTATATTTTAGTTGCATAAATTGTTATAGTAGTTGCCTTGTTATTTCCCAGTTCAATCCAGCCCCCAATCACACTCCTATAATTAAAGCATCCCTATTTGTCTGTTTGAAATGTTGGGGGTGGGGTTATCTTATTATTAGTCCAATCCATTAAGTACATACAAAAGCCATCTAAATATCAGAACATTGTAGCAAAAAAAAAATAAAAAAAAAATTTAATTACATAAATTGTGAATAAATATCTAAAGTAAAAGTAGATTTCAAATTGTACATATCTTCACTTTCACCAGGTTGCGATTGCAGCAATGACATTACTAGCGCAAAATATTCAGTTTTATGTTGTAATTTTAACTTCTGCCATGCACATTGAAACGAGTGAGGGGTATGCCATGCACATCGAAACGAGTGGGGGGTATGCTCGCACATGTTAAATATAGTTACTAGCAGCATCCCATTAATGTGACAGGAATGGGCGACATTCCCTAGCACGAGGGCCTTTTTTTCATTTTATTTTCTTCAAGTGAATTGATTGTTGCGCGCAATTTGCTTGCATGTGTGAGTTGCCCTTTAATTTCTTTGATTGGAAAGTATACGTGAGACGTCATACAGTTGTTCTCAGTTAGTCTCCCACTTATTCTTGATGAGATGTCTCAGCAAGTTTCTAAATGAAGCAGATGTTGAAGGAGGTGGATTACAGCCCCGGAACTTGCAGATATAAAAAAACAAAAAACAAAAAAAACATATGTTGCATGTGTAAATAATGCATAGGATGAAATGAAAAGGGGGAAGCAAACATCCACATAGGATTATCCCTTTAAATGAGATTGAAAGAGCATGCAAACTCACTAGTTTAGTTTCTTAACCTTTTATACACAGACCCAGATTGTGCACATTTTATTAGCTATTTATTTGAGATATTAAGCAATAAGTAAAACTAACTCTACATAATGCCTTTTTTAGTCACTTCCAAGTGCCAGATGGGTTTTCATTGCAAAGGGGATGGTAATACCATATCAGTAAGTTACACATTGTGAGCAGCTACATTAGACACAAGAATATGACATGCTTATTCTAACAACTGGGGGTCCATACTTGGTTCAAGAACCGTTGATTAGAGCCAAAAAAGATTTTTTGATCAGCAAGCATCCAACAATTTGTAACAGGCGTGTACGTGCTAGGAGTTATGGTATGCTGATTCCGTAACTTGGGGCATAGCGGCTGCAAGCATTCGGTTGCATTACATGAAGTGTTTTTACACCTATTCCCACAGCACAGTGGTAAAACTCATGAAGAGGAATAAATGGAAATGTTAAATAACGTATCTATATATTTACTATCAATTTTACTAGCACAATATAGAAATTACATTTGATGTACTTCATGACACATGTACAAAAAAAACCAAACAAACAAAAAATGATCCTTCCCCAGAGATATTCTCTTTAACCATGAAAGCCATAAGTGATAGGAGAACTAAGATTCAGGTCATAGGCTTGCGCACAGGGTGTGCCGGGTGTGTCTGGGCACACCCTAATCACACCTCTGTGCTGCACTGCCTTAGGGCAGACTAACATGACACAGGAGGGGGCCCGGCGGCTTGCCCACAATGCCGCCGGGTGCGAGGCCCCTCCTGTCAGTCTGCCCTGATGGAGATCCAGCCTCAGTCTACAGCTCCGCCGGGCGTGAGCTGCAGACTGAGGTATCTCGCGATCTCCAGCCTGTCAGAGCATTGCCACGGGTTACCACGGCAACGCTCTGACTGACTGGAGATCGCGAGACTCACCATGTGGTCTGCAGCTCACTCCCGGCGGAGCTGCAGACTGAAGAGAGATGGTGCCCACTGGACCACCAGGGAAGGTATTTAAACCATCTGCCCCCTGTCACTCACTGCCCCTACACCCCCCTACCCCCTGTCAATGCCCCTCCACCCCCCTAACCCCCTGTCACTGCCCTCCACCCCCTAACCCCTGTCACGCCTCACCCCCCCCAGCCCCTATCACTTTGACCCTCCACCCCCATTACCCGCTCACTGCTCTTTACCCCCTCCCTAACCCCGTCACTTGCCCTCCGCATCCTAACCGTCCTGCCCCTCCACCTCCCCTTACCCCTCTCACTGCCTCTTCACCCCTCCACCACCCTGTCACTGCACCTCCACCTCCCCTTACCGCCTCTTCACCCCTCCACCCATAACCCCTCTCACTGCCCCTCCACCCCCCTAACTCCTGTCACTGCCCCTCCACCTCTAACCCCTGTCACTGCCCCTCTACCCCCCTAACTCCTGTCACTGCCCCTCCACCCCCCTAACCCCTGCCAACTGTGAAGTATGGTGGTGGGGGCATCATGGTTTGGCGCTGCTTTCCTGCGTCAGGGCCTGGACGGATTGCGATCATCGAAGGAAAAATGAATTCCAAGTTTATCAAGACATTTTGCAGGAGAACTTAAGTCCATCTGTCTACCAGCTGAAGCTCAACAGAAGATGGGTGTTGCAACAGGACAATGACCCAAAGCATAGAAGTAAATCAACAACAGAATGGCTTAAACAGAAGAAAATACGCCTTCTGAAGTGGCCCAGTCAGAGTCCTGACCTCAACCCGATTGAGATGCTGTAGCATGACCTCAAGAAAGCGATTCACACCAGACATCCCAAGAATATTGCTGAACTGAAACAGTTCTGTAAAGAGGAATGGTCAAGAATTACTCCTGACCGTTGTGCACGTCTGATCTGCAACTACAGGAAACGTTTGGTTGAAGTTATTGCTGCCAAAGGAGGTTCAACCAGTTAATAAATCCAAGGGTTCACATACTTTTTCCACCTGTACTGTGAATGTTTACATGGTGTGTTCAATAAAAACATGGCAACATTTCATTCTTTGTGTTTTATTAGTTTAAGCAGACTGTTATTGTCTATTGTTGTGACTTAGATGATGAGCAGATCACATTTTATGACCATATCATTCCAAAGGGTTCACATACTTTTTCTTGCAACTGTATATATGTGTGTATGTATGTATGTACGTACGTATGCGGCATGTGTTTGTGCTTTAGGGTGCACACGCCTATGATTCAGGTCAGGGCTAAAGCAGGAAGCAAACAAGGTGATGATAATTTGCACATTTTACTCATTCACTTACATGAAAAAATTCTGCATAGGGTTTTGTAAAATCCCCCAAAAAACAAAAAAAGCAAAACACCTTATATTTGATGGTAACTCTTGTAAATGTATGCTTCCACTTTTGGAGTTTGGAATATTTTTGTAAGTATGCTGCTCCTCCACTCCAGGTGCCATTCGATGTGACTACAGGAGTTGTGGTTATAAATAGAGGTAGAGTCTCTTGGAGCAGTGTAAGCATTAAATTAGCAATTTGCATTACATTACAATAGCAGTTTCTATGTTTAAGATTAAGGACCCATTCATATTGAGATACTTTGAAGTAATGATAACTTTAAACATGGCTTGGCTATATAGTGTAAATAAATCCAAATATTTACAGATAGGTGATTTTAAGTAGCCTTGTACCACTCAAAACTACATATTTGTGTCTGTACTGTTCCTTTAATGTGTATTTTAGAATTACCTTCAGCACCACTATTAAGAAACAGTCCCTAGGTTTGGGTACTGGTGAATGCTGGGTTAAGTTTATGTACCAGCCTTGGTTTAAAAGGAGGAAACACGTAGGTGGTAGATAAATCTAGTCCTTGAAATTTAGAACCCTTCTGAGAGGAATAGTGGTTTCCTTAGCAAGAGCGGAAATAACTAGACTTGGAGCAGGGCCAGTGTAATGAGTTTGCCGCCTCCCATGTGACATCACAATGCCCTACCCGTATGATCTGACATATGAACTAACGCCAGTGCTGCACACAGTGTGTGTTTACATGACTGCTGAGCCATTACTCCTTTTCCCCGTTGCCCCCCCAATAAGACACCATACACCTTTTCTGTGGATAAGGCCAACGGCCACAGCTTTATTAAATTTAACTCAATTCAAATAACCATAACCTGTCAGCTGTTGGGCGGTTAACCCAACAGACAGCTCTCTACCGCTTTTCCCTGGAGCCTCAACAGCCGGCACTTGCCATCAGCTCTTGTGCGGTCTGTCATCTCCCCAATTGAACGCTGTGTCTTCCTCCTTTATTCCCAGTTGCGCTGTCCACTCCACCGCGGTGCCGCCCTTATGTGCGCTATGCCACACCAGCATCGCGCCCCCCGCAGACAGCCTCAACTCCTGATTGCAAACACACGTTTAATATGTCCAAACCGAACCTCCCCTTCCAACTCCACGTGCCAAATGACAAACCCTCCCAGCCGTCACACAAACCTAGAAATGGAAATGTTAACTTTGCGGCGGCAACGTTCTACGGGTATAACCCTACCCAAAACCCACCAAACTGGCCGAGGAATTATTTACAACCATAAGAGTGTTAGCTCCTGAAAGAGCGTGCCATGTTCTGCTTAATCTCATGAATCAAGTCGATTGACCGCCGTTGGCCAATGTTGTTCCCACCTGCATAGAGCACTAATGTAACCGGCCCCAAAATGCAACAACTAAGCTGAGCGCACTTTGAATACAAATGTTCCCAAGACAAACCCCTCAAACCTCTCTAACGTATCCGCACTAACTCACATGGAAATCCCAGATTACGCCCATATAATCCGGCTTCGGCCCGCCTAGTTGCCCAATACACATACGAATGGCTCAGGATCCAGACGTATCGCGGAGCTACGCCTGTGAAAACAGACAACGACAAGGACAACAAGGAAAAGAACAGGGAGTCAATTACAACATATGATTGCGAACATATAGCTGAAAGCGACCTGACCCAAGAGCTTAATCGCCACCCGCCCAAGAGCTTAAGCGCATCCGACTGGAAACCTAACACGCTGGCTTGGATTGCTGATCAAGCGAGTAGTATAATGGGAGGGATTTAACCACACTCTGCTCACACACGTCCTAAGCACCCAAGAAAATTGGAAACGGCTCAATGAAAACCCATTCCGATGGATAAGAAGGGAACCCCCAATACCACCCCGTGCTACCAGAAACTCATGGACCATCGCTACAGGACAAAAAGGTTGCAACCTGTGTGCCCGCTCCCCTGGTATCCATCTGCTGTTGAATTTAATAACACTGCCCTTTGTATGGCCCCAGGAACGAACTCCAAGCCTGGAGATCCTCCCTGAGGTGCCCAGTGACAACCTGTGACAAAACACCTTGTCCAGGGCCAGAACTCGACACACAAAATTAAGGTCCCCCCACAAAACCTGCAATTGGTGCAGCTGCACTTTCTTTGTGAATTTAACCCGATTCACCAGGTGCATCAAGTGCACCAACTTATCCTCTGGAAGCTGAAACACCATCCCGTCCGAGTCGATTTCAATGCCCAGGTACTACAACACCACCGCCGGCCCGAAGGTCTTACCTGCCACCACACCAAAGTCCGCTGCTACTTGTCGAAAGGATTCCAGAAGCACCACACAGTCCCGTGAAGCACTCGGCCCTACAAACACGATTTCATTTAGGTAATGGGTCAGCAAGGCCAGACCCACCACCTGGGAGACCACCCACTCCAGGAATGAAGTGAACATTTCAAAGTACGAAGAGGAAATGGCGCAACCCATGGGTAAATACATATCAAGGAAATACAAACCTTGAAATTGACACCCCAATAAGTGGAAACAGTCCAGGTGAACAGGGTGGAGGCGAAACGCTGCTTTGATGTCCGACTTGGACAACTGGGTATTTGCCCTGGCGTCCTGAACCAACTCAAGCGCCCTATCAAAGGAGGTGTACCTAACCGTAGACACCTCTTTACCAATCCCATCATTCATCGACCCGCCTGAGAGGTACGACAGGTGGTGAATGAGGCAAAAAGATTCTGAAACCTTTTTGGGAACCAAGCCCGAAAGGAGAGACCAGCAAATTGGGAAAAAGAAGGCCATCAAAGGGGCCTGCCATACGTCCCAGACAAAATAAAACAAGACAAGAAATACAAGGCAAAACAAGGGGAGACAGAACTAAGTACTATATATGTAATAAGCATTGAAGATTTAGACATACAGAAATAGACAAGATGCATGCAGCCCACCACTGCGCCAAAGTACTCCAATTATGGTGGGTCCAAACTGCCTAGATATGCATGACTAAATATACAACAATAAAACACACGCACAGTACTTACCTGCAAGAAAAGATGCAGAGGAAATTAGACCGCTGCTAGCAGGAACAGACTGAAACAAAAAAGATTAAATGGCAAAGGAATGGCAACAAAAAACATTAAAAGGAATCCAGGAGACTGGTAATTCCAGTAACGGAATAAAGGAATGAACCCAGAAAACCCAGCATAAAGAAAACCAGACATAGAATAGAAAACTAGAAAAAAACAAGAATAACTAAACAAGAATTGTAAAAAGAGTACTGTATATCAGAAGCCAAGGTCAGACATCTGAGCAGAACGGAACAGGACGTGACAAAGGGGTGTATTCAGTGTGTGTGCAAGGGATGCATTGAGTTTCTGTGTGTGTGTAAGAGAAGCATGGTGTGTTTCTGTGTATGTATAGGGAAGCATAAGGGAAGCACAAGCAACTTACACACTAAATGGTAGTGAATTAGGGATAACCACACACGAGAAGGATTTGGGAATTGTTATAGATAACAAATTAGGCAGCAATATGCAATGTCAATCTGCAGTTGCTAAGGCCAGTAAGGTTTTGTCATGTATAAATAGGGGCATAAATTCTCGGGATGAAAATATAATTTTGCCTCTTTATAAATCGCTGGTAAGACCACACCTTGAATATGCTGTGCAATTTTGGGCACCTGTTCTAAAGTAAGATATCATGGCACTAGAAAAAGTCCAGAGACGAGCTACAAAATTGATAAAAGGAATGGAGCATTTTAGTTATGAAGAAAGGTTAAAAAAATTTAATCTGTTTAGTTTGGAAAAACGGCGCCTGAAAGGGGTTATGATAACTTTATACAAATATATTCGGGGCCAATACAAACCTTTATCTGGAAATCTATTCATAAACAGGGCTATAGATAGGACACAAGGTCACACATTTAGGCTGGAAGAAAGGAGATTTCATCTAAGGCAAAGAAAAGGTTTTTTTTTTACAGTAAGAGCAATAAGGATATGGAATTCTCTGCCTGAAGAGGTGGTTTTCTCAGAGTCACTAAAAAGGTTTAAACTGCAATTGGATAAATACTTACAAAAACATAACATACAGGGATATAATTTCTAATTAGTGGGGTAATAGCTGCTTGATCCAAGGAGACATCTGACTGCTATTTTGGGGTCAAGAAGGAATTTTTTCCTAGTTTGTGGCAAAATTGGAAGCGCTTCAGACTAGGTTTTTTGCCTTCTTTTGGATCAACAGCAACAACATATGTGAGGAAAGCTGAACTTGATGGACACAAGTCTCTTTTCAGCTATGCAACTATGTAACATTGTGTGTGTAGTGTGAAAGAGAGAGTTTGTGGGGTAGGATAGGGCTGAGACCTACCAGCCCCTTTGTGCTTCTCTTTCCCCCCTTCCTCAGTCTCTCTCCCCTCCTGCCCCTTAGAGCTCTCCCCTCCTGTCTCCTAGTGCTCTCTCGAACCCTCCCCCCATCACCTGGTGCTCCCCCCAGCCCTTAGTGCTCCCCCCAGCCCTTAGTGCTCTCTCCTACCCCCCCATAGAGCTCTCCTCTGCCCCTTTGTTATCTCTCCTCCCCCCCCACGTTAGTTGTCTCTTCTCATCCCCCCTCCCCTAGTGGTCTCTCAACCACCCCCCTCCCTTTGTGGTCTCTTCTCCACCACCTCCCCTGCCCTCCCTTTGAGGTCTGTCCTCACCCACCCAACCTCTCTTTGAGGTCTCTCCTCACCTCCCCCACCGTGTATCCTGTACCTGGCCAGACTTACAGGATGCTCAGCCACACTACACTGAGGGACTGGCTGGAGGGAGCAATGTGCACTTCCCTCCTGCTGATCCCTCATATCTTGCACCTCCGACCCAGGCAGTGCTGCAGCCGCCTGAGGCTCTCTATAGAGTGCTCAGGCGGCTGCAGCATGAGGGAGACCAGCGACTGCCTAGGAAGCGCCAGCCCTGACTTGGAGATTTGTTTGGGGCTGAACTGCAATTCAGCTGAATTTGCATCGATTGGGGGATGAGCTGAAATTTAGATTTTTGAGCTGCCACGCATCAGACTCAAATGAACCAACTTGCACAAGCCCAGACGTGCTTGTTTCGATTCTTGATTTGCAGTGTCATTCCTGGCACCATAAAAAATGGGATAGAATTAAGAAGAAACGGTTTTGCTTTTTGGTGGGAATAAATTAGCATCTTAATTATGCAATCTTTACATTGGCTATATCTAAAAGCTGCAGATTTCTTGTCTACATACTGGGTATACTGGGTATACTCTGCAAGCCCTCTCCTAATCCCACCCAGACTTTCTGTGGCTGTCCAAACACAGACTTCTCATTGCACTACAATGAAAAGCCTTTGCCAGGCAGGTGCTCTGGACGATTACTGCCTCTTGAATTTAGCTCCACTGAGCTAACCAAACCAGGAAGTAACAGGACTAGTTGTTTGACTGACAGCCAGGAGTTTGTATCAAGGTGAATGTATAAAAGTTTTAATTTCTATTTAAATCTGCACTTTTTGTAAAATTTTAAAAATAGAACACACTCCACATACAAAGCTAAAGTGCTGTAGGGGTCTGGAGTATTTTTGTTAGTTTACTGCAATATATCAGTACCTACTGCCAGTGGCAGATTAAACAGCTTTAATGGGAGATAGGAGATTGCATTATGTAATTGACCCTTAGACCCATAGTCCTTTAACTTGCCAGGTGCCAGTCCTTAGAGGGGGATTTGTATCCACACAAACAAAGTCGGAACTGCACTCACGGACTTCAATTTCAAATTTCTTGAAATTGAAGTCCGTGAGTGCAGTTCCGACTTTGTGTATATATATTACACACACACACACACACACACAAACAAAAAAAAACTAAATGCCAGTTATGTTTACCTTAATGTAGTGGCTCTGGGCCATAGAGACTGTCCCTGCAGCCTCAGCATTAAAAATGCTGCCTTTTTTGAGAACAGACATTAACACTGCTGCCTAATGTCTCCTCTAGTAACTGTCACTCTCACAGGGCAGGTCACTCTCACAGGACTCTCTCCATCTCTATGAGGAGGTGATTTGTTGCCCATGCACACTAGCCTTCCAACATTGGATCGGCTGAGATTATCAGTACTGGGTGGCAACTGTGACACAAGCGCACCAGGGAAAATAATGAAAGTTGAACTGCCTGTTTTTTTTCTGTTTCAGGGAGTGAAGTAAGGAATGATTATCCAAATAGGTAGGCTAACAGTATTGAGTTAGGAATACATGATTTTATTACAAACACAAGTATTCCTTTAACACGTTGTTTTAGAAAAATATTAATTGCTTGAAGAATTGTTGTAGTATAAATTTCAAGGTAATGTGTATTTAAACTCCATAAAGAGTAAGGATTTATATAAAACCTCTTGAGCAATCTCCCAAACATTTAGTGCAGCATTTCCCTTTGACAAATAATATTGATTTGATCAGATAAGTAAACCTTAACCAGAATGATAGGATTGGTACCAAGCTGCTCCTGGTCATACCTGGTGTGCTTTGAGCGATTGTTGCTTTGTATGAATGTACACAGTAACTAGTTTCAGCACTGTCTGTTTATGGTCCATTTCCTCTGGTGTAACCGTAGAAGCGAGGCTGTTCAGGGTCTGTGTTGGGAGATACTTTCTGTATATTTCTGGGAGAGCTACGTCAGGCAGCATTCCATTGTGCGGCGTCCTGCAGCTATTTATTGAGGTGTACTAACCAGAGGAAGTGTGTGTAGGCAGCCCATCATGTATTCGGAACAAGTGGCAAATGTTTGTCACACTGCAGTTCCCCCTCATCGCTTCTATTGGAGTGACACACATAAAATGCCATTTTTATTTCATTTTTATTTATTTTTTTGTCTTAAGTCCAGGCAATACAATGGACTTGTCAATCAACTATGTCAAAACTATCTGGTGACTGGCCTCATTTCACTTGCTACATCAATCACGTACCCTCGGCTTGATCCTGCTGTCTTACATATCTTTAATACCACTTACAGCTTGTTTGCTTTGTTTAAGATTTCAGGAGAAAATAAAATTGGTCATGGCTAGTATTGCTGGACCATAATCTTTGTTGAAGACATTTATAAGGCCAGTAAATAAAATCAGTCTTACATATAAAAGAAAACTAGGAATGCTGTCAAATTTCTTACACAAAAGGAAGCCACCACTACCCCCTCAGATGTCTTTTAGGTTACAATCCATTTTTTTTTTTCACAGTGACAGCTTTGTTAAAAGTCAGGTTGTTGTGTATCACCCCTATTTGACCATGTTATAATGTAATTCGATCCCACATCTCAGAGGTTTCAGTAAAACCCACAAGCATTTCCCCCCTAAACATAATGCGCTTTGTTACTGTAGGAGTCATACTTTTTGACAATGAGGCTGCGTCACGGCGTGCAATATAGAGCGAGCAAGAGAGCTGATAATCTGAGTGCTGCATTTCTTTAACTCCACAGGGTGCCGCAGCCTGGCGATTAAAGCCATGTGATGTGTGTGCACATAAAGCCCTGCTCGGTTTAGATTCTTCCTCAAAGAAAATATTTTGCATGAGAAGGAGAAAAAAAAAAAAAAAGTCAGCGGTTTGACCTTGAAGCTCCAAGTAATTAACATGTCTTTCTCAAGATGTAAAGAAATAGGAGAGTTCTACAAATGCACACAAATTCTAGAGCTGCAGCACAGACTAAGAAAATTATATAAATCAAAAATAAGATATATATATATTTTTTTGTTCCTAGCTTAGTCACCTCCAAGTGATTATTTTCAAAGCTATGTACTTTCTAGATATGCAGGCTCTTAATGGTAAGCCACTAGATATATGTAATAAAAGTCCTATCTCCGAGTTATTAACTAAAGTCCGATTGCTCAGATTTTCAGAGTGAATTTTGTTATCCATTGATGTGGATAATTTTTGTAGGTATTTTGTCCTTTGAATTTTAAATTCACATAGAACTTACTTTGAATTCCTAACAATTATCACTTTAGTGAAATACCCTATAACAGTCAACAAAATCTGTGCTTTAGGGATGCTTAAAGCATCATAACCTCTACAGCTTGCTGCATTGGTTATGGTGCGAGGAAATGGTCTCCGAAAACAAAATTCCACGCCAGCCTAACTACCTATTGAGACATCCAAGCACTTGGAAGGTGTTAAACATGTTCTTATCTTATTTTACACAAACCTACCTGGCTTAGTGCATAGCCTATTCACCCAGGGAGTGGAAGGAATTCGTATTAGTATAAAAAAAACTTAACAAAAAAAAATATATATATCTATTTTCCTTTACAAGCCTTCCCCTTCTAACCCCGCCCAAACTTTCTGTGGTTGTCCAACCACAGACTTCCCAGTGCAGCTCAATGAGACATCTTTGCAAGGCAGGTGCTCTGAGCAATTGCTGTCTCTTGAGTTTAGCTCCACTGTGCTAACCAAACCATGGACCGACATAACCGGTTGTCTGACAGCTAAATTTATAAAAAGTGCAAATTTGTATTGAAATCTTCACTTTTTGCACAATAAAACCAAGAGGACACACTCCTTACACAAAGTACTTTTGAGTGTCCCTTTAAGCGCTTCAGGACGGTATAACCATTATTTAAACTAATTTAATGTTTGGGTAAGTGGAATGGCAAAACAAAACTTCCCGTGATGCTTCATGCAAGGTTCACAGTAAGCAGTGACATGACTGGCTAAGTACACATCAACAAATCAGCTAAAAAAAATAAAATACCAACGGTCATGGTAACTCATGATCTATGCACAAAAGCACCCTGGTTCTCAATATTTTAGGAAGATTAAAAAGGGAGATCTTAAAGGGAATCTATAGGTACCCGAAAAACTCTCCCAATGAAGTGGTCTGTGCATCAGGTCCCTCTAGCTTTAACCCTGCAAATAAAAGCATTGCTGTTTGTCAGAATGGCAAGATTTAAATGCTTTTAGTGGCAGTCACCCTTCCAATAAATAGCCAAGCCAAACTGTACTATTTCAATCATTGGTGATGATTGGCGCAGCATGTTGTTTTGACACGCATATTCACTAGCCACCCATTCTTTTCCTATGGGAAACCCAGGAAGGAGGCGTTTCTCCAAAGAGACCAATGATAAGTAAAACAGCCTTTACAAGGCAGGGGGACACAAGCATAGAGTTAAACATATACAGTGTTTGGAATCTATGTTTAAATTCCTAATACTACAGTGTTCCTTTAACTAGGGTTCAGTGTTGGTCGCATAAAGACGAAATGCCTAGATTTCTATTTTTCACTAGACAGGAACAAACGGTTAGATACGTAGCATACAATTACCTGCTTTTAGAAGTGTTTAGGGTGACTTACAGCCCAGGATGCTGTTCCAAGCTTCCCAATATAAATTAGGTGCTAAAATTGCATGCTGGTGACAGAGTTACTGATCTTCTCACTTGCAAGCAGCCATAAGCAAGGGGAAAAATTAAGTTTCCCTACCATCCTGTCTAATGCAAGGACTTTTTTTTTGCATGTTTAAATCCCACCCCTTTGTCCAACCCCCAGCATCTTCACCCTCCCATATGCATGTGCTCTAAACCTGGGAGAACGGTTCAATCAAATGCTTTTCTATGAGAACTGTTGATTGGATCTCACGAGGAAGCCAGTGATGACAGCAGGGGCATGGAAACCAATGCAGGGATCTTTGACTTGCACTGGATTCCAGGTAAGTGCAATGAATATATTTTTTGCAGATTTTAGAAGTGTGTGTGTGTGTGTGGGGGGTGGAGGGTAATTAAATAAAAAACAGACCTTAAAAACAATTCAAATAGCCTTTAATGCCCTTTATTTCTGGTCGGTGGAGTAGGTAATGCCAGTCCAAAATGCCCCTTCAAGCTGGACATTTTAGACTGAAATGATCTACCTTGCACATAGAATTATCTGTTTAAGGATTCAGGTCTACACAGCACAACATATACCTTGTGTATAGGACAGCAGCCCCTGGGAGGGATATTCAGCTCCGCACTGGATATGAAAACAAGATAAAATGCATGCTTAATTGTTTGTTATGACAATGTATTTTATGATCAAGGAAAAGCTAGAGGATGACATTTTTTCCTATTGAGATAAACAAGAGATTGTTCCTATGAACTCCCACTGGCTGGAGGAGCATTACATGTAATCAACTAGTTACAGAACTTAGACCTTTGACCTAAAATAACACTTTGCAGTCAAATGACCCTTTCAGACAATTGAGGCTACAAATCATTCCTAAAATGTATTTTAAAGAACCTCCAGCCAGCCTGGTATAAAAGAACAAATAAAAACGGAAAGAATGCCATTATGGAACATCAATGAAACCAGACTGCTCATAGGAAATTACACGGTTTTATTTTTCGGGCATGGTTCTTTACAGAGTGAAGAGAGGAAAAAAAACAAAAACAAAAACAAAAAACAATCCCCCCCACCCCCCAAAAAAGAAAAATATATATATTTTTTTATATAACAGGCTAATGTGTTAAAAAAAACCAAAAAAAACCCCCAAAACATAAAAACAAAAACGGAAAATAAATACTGCTGCAGTTTGCGAGCATTTGTTTTCATATAAGAGCCTCTCGTAGTTAAAGCATTCAGTGGCAAATACAAAACGGCTTTTGGTGCTTGGATAGAGAAGGAGAGTGCCATTATTATTCTGTTCACTGCCCCTTTGCCTTCAGTTTCTATGGAGACAAGCAGAGCCAGGCCTAGCAGGTTTTGCGCATGGCTGAGAGTGGTTGCGGTTGCTAAGGACAACCCATCGAAGTTGGATGGCCTTTCTAGATTACAGCAGACATAGGTATGAAGGAGCAAATCCTAGCACTGTTCACAGATCTAGAACGGACAATAGAATCCTTTGTTAGGTGCATTTACTATATTGAACCCAATTAAATTCTCAGCAGGAATTCTTTGCGGAGGGGGCAAAGAATAACATTCCACTTAAGGTACACACCAAAAAAAAAAAAACCTGTGCATTCTGATACACAAGATTCAGGAGACTTTTTTTTTTTTTAAATTGATAACTCAAGGTGTATGGGGCACAGATAATTTGCAAAAAACATTATTGGGTGCTCAGCAGAACGCACCAGTTTTTTTTATTTAATAGTTTAAATACCAATAGAAACAGTATCTTGGTTTCTACTTTCAACATTATCTGTCCCGGTCTTTAATATTCAAAGGTGACCTCAAGGTCTTATAACAAGACAGTCATACTGACGATTTTTTTTACAGGAAAGATTTGTTTATAAGGTTGAACACTGACACTAAAACAGTTGGACTACAATTCCCACAACCCACAGCCAGCACTAAGCAGACTATCAATCACAGGAGTTTAAGACCAACCACAACTGATCAGTTATTACATCATTAATTCCAAGATTTAGCATTGGGATAATGTTTATAAGTCTAATGTCATACATGTCCTAAAACCCACTATTCCACTAGTGCTGGATCAAAGGGCCCATGGGCATCACATGTCAATGTATTTCCGCTGGGTATTTTAAAAATTGGAAAAAAGTGTTATTTCAATGATCATATAATGGAAGCAAGAAAATGGCATATTACTTAAAGGGTAATTATCATCAAGGGAACATTCTTTTAATTAAATGTAGCACTGCAATAAATGTGCCATAAAATAATCCCGTGATGAAGTGAAAACTGTATTTGTTTCTGGACATGGCGATGTAGACTGGTAGATTGTAGCATACACTTTGTTTAACACTGCGGAAAGAGTTCTACATACAGACGTAATTTAGGTTTAAGGCATCGAAAGACGGGCAGAGATCCCATGTCAAAGTCTATGAACAGAATAATGTAAATAAATACACTTTAAAAAAATATAATTAGGTTATATGGATGAACATAGGGACCACAGTGCCATAAAACCAGACAAATTTTGCACGCAAATGTGAGAATCTAAATGTAGCACTCTCTATATAACTATGAAGTCAGCATGTGCAGCAGAATATCAATGCCTTTTTAATTGGAATATTGATTAGTAAGAGTTAATGGCTTCTCTTTACAATTATTCCTGACTGTAGCTACACTTACTTTGCCCCAAATTAGTACAAGTTATTTATAACTGCTGTGACCAAGCAAGTCTCCATCCACTGCTTTATTGTACTTTGGCTTCTCTGTTTATGGCAATTTATCTACAGTTTATCAATTCTAAACACTCTGGTGCTATGTGGAGTTAAACTATGTGGGACATAATATTTAGATCTTTTATACACATGTAAGGAATGTAGTAATGTGCATTTTCTACTGCTAAGATGAGGAAAATAATATATTTTAGAATCTCACTTACAATCGGTGTTCTTTTATGAGTGGTTTTTTTGGAGTTGGCAGTGTTATTAACAATAAAATGTTAAATGCCAGGAATTCAAAGTGAATTTCAAGTTTCAGGCCAAGTATATGAATTGGACAAATTCTACAGATGAGCTAGGTTTCCAACATGGCTAAGTGAAATTCACCTTGAATTACTGCCAATTTAAGATTTAGTGACCAATCATATGCATGTGTAAATTTAAGAAAGGGAATCCCCAAACCCTGAACAATTAACAGTTTGGGTGCAGTTTAAGGGGAAGATAACAAAATTAAAGGGACACTAGTTTCCAAAACAACTTTAGATTAATGAAGCAGTTTTGGTGTATAGATCTTGCCTCTAATGTTTGACTGCACAATTCACTGCCATTTTGGTGTTAAATCACTTTGCTTCTGTTTATGCAACCCTATCCACACCTCATGGCTGTGACCGACACCATGCATAAAAAAAAAAAAAATAATGGTTTAATTTTCAATCAGATGTAACTTACTTTAAAAGTTTTTATCTCCTGCTCTGATATTTAGCTTTGATTATATAAAGGAGGCTCCTGCAAAGTCTAACAAGAAAAAAAGATCTAAATTAAACAAGATTTGCAATAAAAGAAGTGTAAACATTAGATGATTTTACAGGAAGTATTTAGGAAGGGTGTTTAAGTCACATGCAAGGTGATGTTACTAGGGCTTCATAAACAAAGTGATTTAACTTCTAAATGATGGAGAATTGAACAGTGAGAATGCAGGGGCATGATTTATATATATAAAACGGCTTCATTAAGCCAAAGTTGTTTTGGTGACTCTAGTGTTTATAGTACTTCTTTTCCTTG